AACGGGAGCATAACAATGACAAACACATGAAAAGGATAATGCGGGCTTCTGCTGCAGTCAACGACGGCTATAAAGGGATGCGAATGGATAAGGTGCGGAAACTTTGACCGAACACCTTTGTCTCCCTCAACAGCCTCGCACTTATGAGCAGTGGAATAACTCTTTAACTCTAATTGCGGTTTTAATTACTGTAACCAGTTCCCACTCCCAACGGTGTCGTTCGGGGGGGCATAGTTCCTCAAGTTTATGTACAATACAAGTATATAATAGAAAATGGACCATAAAGGTGTTGAATTTAGATTTAAAACAGAAAATAAAATATAAGCACTTCTACTTATTGTTGATGCACTATTCAAAGAAACAGCGCTAGAAAATAAATAAAATAAATAATTAATGGCTCGGCCATTAGTCTTTGAAACGAAGAAGAAGGCTGAACAGATGATAATTGAATAAATTTTCTATTCTAAGGATTACTTCTGTGCCGGAGTTGGAGTCCTTGAATTGGCAGAGACTAGTTGTGGCATTTATTTTGATTCGTTTTCGTCGAAGTTGGGCGAACCCTGCTCTTCCTTTGTCTTCATCGTATCGGATCACATCGAGAGAGCAGAAAGGCACGTCAAATAACTACAAGTATTTAATAAAGCGTTATTTTTTGAAATGAGCATAAAAGGATCTATTTGCGAAAAACGGACAGCCCATTCCGACGACTATCACCTGCAATTCTCTTTCGTTGAATTGCAGCGGAAAGAGTGCATGGCAGCGATAAGCTACGAGTGGAGAGGACTGACTGACAATTAAAGAGCATGCGGCGCCATTGTTGCTTTTGTTGTTTAAACAGGTAATGCAAACATGACTTCCGTTTCCCTTTTGTGTGGCTTTATATCTACCCACACTCACACACACACACACACACACACACACACACACACACAAATATGTGTACTGCCATTAAAATGTGCCGTTATCGTTCAGTATCTTCATTTTATTTTGTTATTGCTTTTTGTGGATTTGCTTTGTGCCTTCGCATGGATTTTGTTCGGCGGGTGCGGATACAGCAGACAGAGAGGTATGTATTTGTTTTTGTTTCTAAATGCAAATATTTAGCTTAATTCATTTCTGCTTTTTGTCCTTTCTCGTGGCATTGTTTAAACTCCGGATTTCGTTTAAATGAAAGTGAAACTGAAATCGATCCTTTACGATGCCTGGAAACGGGGTTTTTGTGTGTTTGGTGTTCGGTGTGCGTGTCTCTGCATGTGTGTGTGTCTGTGTGTGTGTGGCCACATAACTGTAATTGAAATACGATAAGCACTGTAGCAGACATTGAAATAAAAATGATAATTACATGCCTCGCTCACCATTAGCATATGAAACGGGCGCTCCTCTGCTCGTGGCCGTTTTGTCTGGCCCATAACCAATCCTCTCCAAGCCACCACCCCGCTAAGCATAACAAACGAAAACCCACGCCCCCACATACAAGCTTCGAGTTATTTGCTTTTTGCGTAAATGCGTCTACTTCGAGCCAGTTTCGGCGCAGCTGTGTTTCCACATGCAAACAATTCTCTGGCTCTGGGTTGTCGACTCCCCGTTCGCCTCGCTTGCCTTTCCTTACCCACGACTGATTACTGCCTCTGCTGCTGCTGCTGTTTGTCATCCTGCTGCCGTTGCCGCTGCTGGTAAACGATATCCTTACATGTTAATCTATGCAAGCAATCTGCGCTTGTTGTCGTTGCCGTCGCCGTCGTCGTCGCTCCTTTGTGTCGCTCAAATAGACTTGACTTTGCCTCACTGCTCTGCTCTGCTGTTTTTTATTTTCATTTTTTTTCTTTTTTTTTTCTTTTTGCTTACTTCTGCTAGGCATTCAATCATCCAAGCTGTCAGCTTGTAAACGGTGTACATCGTCTTTATATTTACTCGCATATGTATTATTTTTTTTAAATATTTTTATTTTGCCTTAAACTGTGATTATGGGGTCCCCAATCGGCCAAAAGTTGGCTGCGTTCCAAAAGTGTTTCTCACATGATTAGGCAGGCGAAATATGAAAAGATTCCAAATTTTGCAGTTTTTGCCACGCACTGAGTTTGGGAATGGGACCCGAAACGAGCATTCGCATTAGCTACCATGTTAGCTTCCGGACTCATGACTCCCGCTGCCTGGCGCAGCTTGTTTGTCGAGGTCCGTCAACGTCAACGTCAGCGTCGCGAAGTGCTGACCTTTTTTGTTGTACTTTTTGCGCTTTTCCACTTCAATATGGATTTTCTGTTTGTATTTTTGATGGATTTTGCATAACAAATCGCGGTAATCGGTCCTGTCAGCCAGTTTTCCCTCTCTCTCTCTCTCAGCCGCATTCGCAACCCTGCTCTCGCTTTTCATCTTTATCAGTCGCTTGAGTTGATTATGTCGTCAGCTGTGCTCGCCGCCGACATGGCTGACATGGCTAACATGGCAGCCGCTGCCATTGCTGTTGCCGCTTTGATGTGTCAGGAAGCAAGAAAAATTGTTTTTCCCCTGCTAAGTAAAGGGATTTTGCATTCGTCCGGCATAGATCGTTTGTTTGATAAGCCGTAATAGATCGATTACGCCCAATTTTTACGCTCTTTAGTCATATAATTTGGTTTTCCAATTTAGTTCCAAAACACATTAAGATTGATGACAAGGTTTGATAATTGCTTATTGAACAACTCAGATACTTGCAGCTATTTCCATTTGCCATTTTCCACTGCTTTCCAAAATGCATTTGCGTTAGGAATCACTGTTCAGACTGAAATCTATTTATATGTACAACAAAAAATCATGAAGGAACTGTATATTTATTTTAGTTTCAACAACTATTTAATTGAGAACTATTTACAAAAATAACTTCGTTTTTTGTAATAATACAAAAATCGAATTCAAAACGTTGCTGAGTAAAAGTGTAAGGAATTATTTAAATGTAGAATGCAAGTTGAATTTAAAAGGAAGTACGTTCAAAGAATTCTTAGTCTCTCGCCTCCAACAAAATTAGATCTTCGAGCTAACCTTTGAGCCAATTTTTAGACAACACTTCGCTTTTCAGTAGAAATCTAGCTTTATCTCATTATACTAAACATTCTGTAACTTTAGGCAAATTCCGTTTTTTTCATCAGAAAAACAAATACAGTTTTCATTTATTACACATTAGAGTTTCATTCCAGTTAAAAAAATGCTGGTGACAAAAAAAAAGAGCTACATACGAGGTAATACGTTTTAGGATCAAACATTATATTCCTCCATGGTTATGGGCCGCAAACTACAAGTATATTAACAATTTTTCACTCTTCACGAGGTAAGGCAATTAATAACTTATATTACTATGAAAATCTATATTTAACAATTTCATTTTAAAGGTACACAATGTTTTAAACATAAAAGATTTATTCGTCCTGTAAAGTAAATTCTTGCAAAAAAACGGAAAAATTTCTCATGCTGGCGAACGAGTTTTAATAATTTCCTTGTTTCTATAGATGAATGATCTTGGAAGCTGTTTTTAATTTACCATTAGTGGCGATTGTGTTATTTGTTGAGATCACTTCAAGCTACATATTCCACTCTGCATCCGAAGGCAAAATGGTTTTATTAAATCGTTCTGTTTTTGTAAAACGCAACAGATGGAGTTTTGGCAGACCCCACAAGTTATTCTATATATACGAGAGTATTCTTGATCACCATGACCAGAAACCATGTCCGTCTGTCGAAGCTCGAAAAGTTTTCATAAGACTTAGAATAATAAAACTTGGTCTCCTAAATCAGAGAAAGGATAAGTTTGTGTTTGTGTGCACTCCTTGTAAGAAAATATTACATCATTAGGATACTTTCGATAGCATCGAATTTTGTCTTGCGCCAGAAGCAAAAGCCGTACAGTTATAGCAGTGGCTGACTTCTTTCTGTAAACAAAGTGCATGTCAATTAAAACTTTTACTGCCTCTCACACACACGCACATACACAATATATGTACATATATGAATGTCGAAGTCTTGTAATGCAATTTATAGTCCAGCCGATGAACCAACCAATCCAAACGCATCTGTTACAACTTTTGTCAGATGTCGAGCAAAGAAGCAACGTGCGGACACAGGAGCTTTGTAAGATTTCCAATTTGCTGGGAGCTGTGTGCGCAGCAGCAGCAATAAACGGCTTTTAATTAATTTAAATGCCCCACCTTGACCATCGAGGTAGCTGCCCAGCTGAGAGCGTGGCCGGGCATTGGTGAAGACATAAATAAATGTTCATCGGACAAGATTTTAATAGCGTTGAATCAATTTTCGGCAACGAGAGGCGGCAACAAAGCCGAAGAAATTGCACCAGCCAAAAAGGTAAACTAAAGAAAACTCTACCAAAGGGAAAACTTGAGAAAATTGTTGCCACAAGTTTTGTGCCGGGCTGGGAGGAAGGGGTTAATGGGATGCCGTGTGGCGTAGATTAAGACAACAGATAAGCAACAATGAAATATTTGAAGTTTTCAATTAGATTGCAGCATGTTGCTTTGTCTGCCTGTTAAGCTGCCTGGCTGCCTGCCTTCCTGCCTGCTGCGTGTGTGTGTGTGTGTGTGTGTGTGTGTGCAGGTGCGTGTATTCCCTGGACAAAAGAACGCACAGGCAGAAAGGCACACACCCGCACAGATACTACTATATATCCACTGATTATTGTACAAACAAGCAAAACTTTGCAGACAGGAAATATTATTCATCATCATTTAATTAAGCAACGAATTTTCGCTCTAGCCTGTATTAGTTGGCGTAACTACAGCGCCCTTATTAAAATCGATTAAGTTAATTTTGTTTGTTTGTCAAAATATACCCCACAGCAGTTTTGTTGCCGTTTGCGTTTCTCTACCGCGCGCTTAGTGGCTGCCGCCAACGGGCGCATTTGGATTGCTGTCAGAGATAATTCGGCAGCCACAAAAACATAAATGCCACCCTTTTACACATACATAACACATGCGCATAGTGTTTATTTTGCTACGAATTTGAGAGGAAAAACTTACCCAAGCCCGTCATGGGACCAAACACGGTGTTATCCTCGGTTGTGCTGCAATTCCAACGGCGATTTTTGAACTGAAACTGGCATTCCTGAAAATAATAGGGAGAGGAAAAATGTGAGAAGGGAGAAGCATTAGCAACAGTTTAATTAGTAAACTAGTTTTGTGAAATGCATGTTTCTGATTTTTGCAAACTTTTTCAATTAAGTATTTTTCGAATTTGACGTTACGTGCCCTCACCCCCCATTATATAAGAGTTAATGGATGGTGTGTGCCACCCTAATATAGCACTAATTAAGCCGCACTTGCCAATTTTTTTTAAAGCCGGCGGCACGCGTCCGACTCGCTAAAAGCCTTACAAAATGCACACTTCACAAAAATATGAAAGAAATTCGCAGCTCGCAACTTTTCCGTAGCATACTTTTGCGCGCAACTGGCAACCGATTCGGCTTTTGTGCCCACTTTTTCACACCCTCTTGAAAGGCAAAGAGATGACGGCATTGTGATTGTATATATATACATGTATATGTGTGTGTGTGTTTGTGCGTGTATATTTGGTGGTTTTTTGTGTTTCATTTGTCGCGTTCGAGTGGCTGCACTTGAGCTCAAAGCATTTCGCGAGCCATTCGCCTGAATGCATGTTGCACATCCGGCGGGGTCGCGTCTGTGGCAGTTGCCTTAGGGCATCCCAAAAAGCAATTTAAATCGCAACTGAAAGGCTTGGCACTAGGCCTAAAGCAGCAACGTTCAAATCTAATTTGCACTTGGATGCCTGCGAAGGTTGAAAAGCTTCTCAGCTCTCACCCCTTCCTCAACCTCTGAGTGTTCAAGTGCGAAATGCATTCGTTTGCGACAGCTGCGAGTGCAACTGCTAATTTATCAAATTGAAATGGAAGTCGAGTCCAAATCAAAGTGCAACTTACATGAACTAAACAAATATAAGGGAAACAAGAAGCCAGCTGCGCAGGAAAGGGCATTTCTAGTTGCACAATTGAATTTTCGCATACATACTTGTATACATAAGCTCTAGCAATTGTAGCAATCCAATTAACTGTACAAACAATTTAATTATATGAATTCCAAGATACATCCGACAGCCAATGCCAGCTGAGTTTGACGTGTGTCTGTGTCGCCCCCAAACCACGCCCACACAGCCAGTTGCTGTCGCCAACTGTTTTCCCGTCATAATAATCACATCAAAATTTCGTTATTTCGACAAACTAATTACAAATTCGACTGTAATTGTTTTCACATTTGACAGACGATGACGATGAAGTTTGAGCTCAGTGTGCTCGTATACTTGACACCGACACACACACACACACACACCCAAGCCGACTACGTGTGCGTATGTGTGTGTGTGTGTGTGTATATATAATTTGTGTGGGCGTGTCGGTCGTCTGTATGTATGGTTCATGTACGTATGTGTATTCTGTGCAAATTGGCAATTTAATTTAATTTGAACCCTGATGCTGATGCTGCCTCCCAACAGTCAATCCGTTCGTTGTTGCTTCAGTGTCACTTCAAGCCGATCTGTGTCAGGATGTGCAGCAGAAGAGGCGGCAACGACGGCGACGGCGTCTGTTGCAAAGCGACACCGAAAGTCCTCGAAAGGCAACTGAGAGCTTGCCGCGTTGACAGAGGTCGCTTCCAGCTAATGAAGTTCTTGCCTGCCTCCTGCTGCAGTGTCTGCTGTTCCTGCCGTCACTGTTACATGTGTCATCGTCGTTGGTTCAACATGGCGTCGTTGTCTATGTCTATGCCTTGGTCTACGTGTGTGTTTATTGGGGTTAAGTGTGCAGAAAGGGGTTAATAATGTACATTTTTCGTAGGCTTGCTGTCGTCTGTTAAGCGTGTGTGCGTGTGTGTGTGTGTGTGTGAGTTTGGTTGTATTTTGTGTTTTGTCTGCTCAATGTTTTGTGTGTTGTTTGTTGTCAATACATTTCAAAAATTGAGTTAACTTCGTGTTCGATGTCGCATTTTAATTAGGCGTATATATACACACACACACACATACATCCTTCACCACCGTACACACAAGTATTTATATATGTATGTTTGAGTACTTTGTCACTTTTCTTTCATATCCAATTAATTTTTAATGAACATTCTTGCGTCCCGGCTTAAAAGTGTGATGCAGCTAGGTACAAGTTGCAACGCCATTTTGCAGCATTTCAAAAGCTTAGCAACATGTTGCTGCGGCTGTGAATGTTGACAAGCATTTATTTGTAGAACACATTTTATGAAATACGATTTTTGAGGAACTCCAATATGTAGTTTTAAATATGTGCATACATATTTAATTATTCAAAGATTACATATTAGGTTAAGCATGACTTTAATGCAACATACTTGTACTTTAAAATAACTCCACTTTCGTTCTTGTACAGCAGTTAGTTTTACACATATTACCAAAAGAAGGGAACAAGTGATGTTACTAACTTCTCTTAGATTATCTTGGACAGATTTGTATGAAGCCTGGAATTTTGTGTAGCAAAAAAATAGAACGAACGACGAATAGATAAGCTGACATATCAACATGCGAGCATCGATTTGTTTCGCCATGCTGTTACATATATTTCTAAATAACAAATCGAGCTCGATATATTCAACGTTTTATTTCTGTTACTGGTCACAAGTCCAAAGCAACATACATACTTGATGACATTGCAGGTGCTTGCTGATGACTATTACCCAGCAAATGTGCTCGTTCCACACATGTGAATCTGAATAGACTGTGCCTTTTAAAAACACATATATCCACAATATTTGTGCATTCTGTGATGCTGCATTTTATGAGCTGTGAACATTATAGTCAACAATAATACTTTTGTGTAAGGAATTAAAAAACAAGTTCCATTTTATTCGAGTGTAAATAAGAATGTGTTTGCCATGATAAATGCATGAAAGATACGCAACAGCACAAATCAACTTTTGCGATAGATTTTAATGCATATACTTGTATGTGTATCTTTATATTTCAATTCAGCAGATTGAAGTTGTCGATTTTTCGGCTTCTGAAACAATTTTAAATGCTTCTCATCAAAATGCAAGCACACAGACACACACCAACTGTTGACGGAACTCGTTCTGCTTTATGTTTTTGTGTAAATAAATGTGCGATGTTTGGCAAACGCCATGATTTTTTAATAACCTCACATAAAGTGAACGGAGAGAGCAAAGGACCAAAGCAAACAAATAAAAAGCGCTTAATATGCGAGTGAGTTTTTGTTGCTGTCGATGCTGACCAACCGCTGAGCTGAGCCCAGAGGAGAGGGGCAGAGCAGAGCAGAGCAGAGCAGTACAGAATTGCAAGGCAACGACGTCGTTGGCTTCCGACATGCATATGTCCATGAAATTAATGACAGGGAACCTAAAAGTATGCGTCTGTGTTTGTTTACGCAAATATACATCACTGTGTATGTGTGTGTGTGTGTGTGTGTGTGCGTTGCAACTCATAAATGATAGACTATCAGTCTGGCTGTTTGTCTTTCCGTCTCTTTGATTGCCGTTCCACAAACAGCAGCAGAATAACCACAACACACTCATCTATAAGTGTGTAAAACTCGCTTTTGAATATTCGGTTATTGATTCCGTGCTTACCACTTTATTGATACTGTTTGCTTTAAACGCAACGGCGCATTTGCCAATTTGGTCGAAAGCCAAGTGTCATACATATATAGGGTGCTTTTTGGAGGTGCAATACACAAAAAGCTTATCGCCTATCAAATGGTCAACACATATTAAAATGAAATATTTATTTGAGAAATCATAATACTTGTATATACACACATATTATGATTTGTCAAATTTGAACAACGAGCGCATTGAAAAGTCATTAAAAATGTCTCAAAACCAGCCATTTTTAATGCCACAACACTGCTGAGAGTGTACAGAGTGCGGATAAGTATAACATTGGTCACTCTTATAGATCGGTTCGATATCATTTCCCATCTATATCCCATAAGCAAAAATAATAATACATAGACTTCTTTATAAACAAAGAAAATACAAGTAACACCCCCAATACGAGCCAATATTCAGCGTTGAGATTCATAAATAACTTGTTGTCTGCAAAGTCCTTAAATGAAAGTTTAACAGCCAGCAGAGACCGTCTAATAAATTAAAATAGTTGAAGAAAAAATAGGATACACTCCCTCAGAAGCTCCTGTTGCGAATGTACATAAAATATTACTATCTATAGTATTTGTTGTGGCAATTCGTATTATAAAGCTGTTTATCGAGAAAACGATTCATTTAGTTTCTTTGTTTTTTATGTAAAGTAAAGCTGGCAAAATAATCAGTGTTTAACCATACTTCATACTCGAAACACAAACTAAAATGTCTTACAAGCTTTGTAGCAACATTTTTTGAATGTGAATTATCTCATGGAGGTGAAAATTAGGCGTTCCAATAGGATTGAGGATTGTACATAGCTCTGCCATAAAAATAGGCACCCTTTACAGGCACATTAAGCAGTTTGTTGTTCGCACAACTTTGTGGAGAGAAGCTTTTGAGTGTTTTCTGTATCATTTGATTTATGAGGAGCGAGATACCTACATAACTACAGCTACATGCATATATTGGATGTGTGAGTGTGTGTGTGTGTGTGTGTGGGGGGGGGGGGGCATGTATGTACTCATATGTCTGCCTCTCACTCTTTTCACATATGCGGCAATGTCACGTCTTCGGCGAAAAATTACGCATTGTGGCCGCTCTGTTCGTTCGGTCAAAAACATGAACAATAAATCATAATCAGCATTGGCGCTGCTCATAAATTGATTATGGTGCATTGCATCGCCAGCAGCAATAGCAATGGCAATGGCAATGGCAACGTCAACAGCATCGAAAACAACAGCAACAACAACTGCAGCTACAACAACAACTATGACAACAGCCAGTTGCAACAACACAGACAGCACGGAGTCAACAAGATGCATCGTTGCCATCGCTGGAAATGTGACTGTTGCCGCCAACTTCGCTCTTGTTTGCCAAGTTAGGAGCATCAATTGCATTTTGGTAATTTTATGCACGCGCGTCGGTCGCCGGCCCCTCGGCGCTTGCTGCATACGCAATGGATGCGTTTTTATT